TTATATTCATTTCCATTTTTTTTCTGCAATAAAAAGCTAAGAGAACTGCTTTTACCAACTGTACACCTTCATACTAAATATGGTCTCCTTTTAGGAGAAATAATRAAGTCAAAGCTTCAAGCCTGGCTCCATTTAACTTCAGTGGATGAGTTACTTTCCAGTGACATCATTTTCAATGCCAAGGTCCCTGGGCTAGGCACTGGGGTCGAACCAGAGACTGTAAAGCTGAGTGTGTGTACAGGGAGTGCGTGTGGGGGCGTGTATGGGGTGTGTGTATGGGGTCTGTGTGTGTGTGTGGTGTATGTGTGGTGTATGTGGGGGGGTGGTGCATGGCATGTGTGAATGGTGTATGTGTAAGTGTGGTATATGTGTGTGGGTGGTGTATGGGGTGTGGGGTGTGTGTGTGTTATAAGTGTATGGGTAGTGTATGAGGGTGTGTAATGTATGGGTGTGTGTGTGTGGCATAAGGTGTGTGTGTGTGTGTGGCTTTGGGTGTGTGTGTGGTATATGGATGTGTGTGTGTGTGGCATAGGGTGTGTTTGTGTGTGTGTGTGTGTGATGAGGGTGTGTAATGTATGGGTGTGTGTGTGTGGCATAAGGTGTGTGTGTGTGTGTGGCTTTGGGTGTGTGTGTGGTATATGGATGTGTGTGTGTGTGGCATAGGGTGTGTTTGTGTGTGTGTGTGTGTGGCTTTGGGTGTGTGTGGTGTAGGGTGTGTGTGTGTGTGGTGTATGGGTGTGTGTGTGTGTGTGTGTGGCATAGGGTGTGTTTGTGTGGCATAGGTTGTGTGTGTGTATGTGGCGTAGGGTGTACGTGTGTTGTATGAGGTGTGCGTGTGTGTGTGTGTGTGGCATAGGGTGTGTGTATGTGTGGTGTATGGGTGTGTGTATAGGGTATGTGTGTGTATGTGGCTTAGGATATGTATGGATGTGTGTACGAGATGTGTGTGTGTGTGGCATAGGGTGTGTGTGTGTGTGTGTGTGGCGTAGGGTGTGTATATGTGTGGTGTATGGGTGTCTGTGTGTGTGTGTGGCGTAGGGTGTGTATGTGGCTTAGGACATGTGTGTGTGTGGTGTATGGGTGTGTGTACGAGATGTGTGTGTGTGTGTGTGTCTGGGGGGGTGAGGCGTGTGTGGGATCCTTAGCCTGTAGAGTGGCCCGGGGGGCTGTCCTCTGGCGCTGGGGCTCTGCAGTGGGCATTTCTTCCTAACCCTGGGTGTGTGCAGGAGCCCTTGGGGAGGGGACACCCCTCCCAGTTTCCACCCTGGCAGCGGTGACACTGGCATGGTCACCTAGCAGGTCTTCACAAGTGAGTGTGGAACGAGGGGCCAGCGGAATGATCAAAACGCCCTTCCTGACACTGGTGGGACACCACATGCCCCTTGACCTAGAACCTGTCTCTCACTCCCTTTCCAGAAGGATCTACTCGAAGTGAACGAAGGGCCCAATGAGCAGTCCACAGACGTCTTGACTGAGAGGGACGCACAGGAGCCCTGGCCACACGGCCTCCCCAGGGTCCCTGGTAAGGCCCTCGGCTGCAGGCATGGAGCCTGCTGCAGACCCGCCCTGCGGCTGGCACCGGGCACCCTGCGCCCAGGCTATCGCCAGCAGACTGTTCTACTCTTCACTTTGACCCACTGCATCAAGTTGTCATGAGACACCCCTCAACAGCAGGTAACTACGGCCACTGCTCCCACCTCTCTAGACCTCTTCTCTTCTGAGGGGGACAAGAGGGCAGGTGACTGTAAGCTCCCGAGCCACCTGAGCCGTGTCTGAAGCAAGTCCATTCTTTTAACAAGAGAATATCCAGCAAGGGCCCGAGGCCTTGGGCCCTTTGTGCACAAATGAGTCAGGTTCCTTTCCGAGATTTCCTTTTCTTTTAATGAAAAAGATGGCAAAGGGGAAGTCTTTCTTGGTACAAAAACTATCTTCAAGAAAATGGAGTTTCAAAGATTTCTACTTTTGTGCCATTTAAAAGTTTCCTCTCATTCTGATGGTCACCCACTCAGTCTTTAAGTCTAGACAGCATAAGCCCGAGTGAAGAGGAATTGTTAGAGAAGTCTCCACCTCCCCAAGGTCAGTGTCCCCTTTCAAAGTCATACACTGCAGGACATGCTCCACATCTGGCCCAGCGTCAGGTCCCCCCAAACCAAGAGGAGGCGCCTCACTGGGCATTCAAACACCACTTACTCACTCACTCTGGATGCCTCCTGCTAATCTGCCTTTCTGGGGCTGATTGACTTTTAGAACTGGACATCTGAACATCCGCAGCTTTCCTCTAAGCAAAGAAAACAGTGATAATGGATATTTCCCAGCTGCATGCTTTCATGACACTCAACGGGTTTTATTTGGATTAAGAAATGCAATTGTTTTCAGAATCCAAAGAAGAGGAGAGCAAAGGTGACATGTGTACTTTGATGCCAACACATTTTGAACCTGGGTCTTGCCCGACATTTACAGTTTTAAAAAAGAACAAAAATAAACACTAGGCTCAAGTCCTGCCAGAGACTAATTTACTCACCAACAGAACTTAGGGGTGATTTATGACTCGCAATGAATTGAAATGATGTGGCCAAGAACCTGAACAAAGGCTGGATGCCACACACATGACGGTATCACCTGTGTCCTCACCTGGCTCTGTGTGCTTTTCCATCTCATTGACATGACTTGTCAGTGCAACCCTCTGTGTGTGTGTGTGTGAAGATAAATGTATTAAAGTTTGTCACAAGTGCATTTAGAAACATTGAACATTTGCTTCCATCAACAAAGTTATTATCATAAAAAGAAAAATGGTATCACATGGTTCCAGAAATCAAATGCCTACTTATCAGGAAAAAGTCATTAAGTCACTCTAAGAAGATTTCAGGACTTCCCTCACACAGACACATGTCTACTGACACAAATGATTGAGCTTGCTTCTACAGAAGTCTCAAATTCCTGTGAAACCCTCTGTTGAGCAGGAGGACATGCTCCACGAAAACATTCCTGGGGTCAGGTGGATCAATACCCTTTTTCTGTTAAAACTACTTCCATCAAGCAAAAATTGGGAGGAGGCTATATCCATTTTTTTTTTTCCTGGTGCTTGTCATCATCCTAACCAATTAAGATAAACCTTTCTGAGGATTTATAAATTGAACGACTATCCCCTCTGTTTACTTCTTGCATTGATCTCCAAAGCTCCTGGAGAATTTTGTCACTGCAAATTTATTTTGAAATTGTAGACGCTTTTGGTAGGTTAACCCATATCATCCAATTAAACTTGCAAACCTCCTTTTTTTATCTTAAATTCTTCCCCTCCGCATACACACAGACTCCACAGACTGAGTCTTCCAGTTGCCCCGCTCCACTATGACCCCTCCCAGCACCACCAAGGCAGGCTGACCCAGACTCCAAGGAACCACCACAACTCAAAGTCAAGAGAATTGGGGCTATCCTAGACCAGAGGACATATGGACATGCTTGGGCTCTTGATGTCTGCCAGCTACTGCATCCCAGGTTGGCCTAGGGGGAGGAGTGTATAGACAACCCCCACCTTTCCAAGGAGGGARGAACTCTTTAGAGGAAACCGAGCTGCACCTCTCAGATCTCTTTTGCAGTTCAAAAGGCAATGCTTGTCTGCAAAGAATTCTGTACATGCCAAATTTTGAAGTAATTTCTCTTATTTGAATTGAATTTTCATTTGCATGACCTTCTTCTCCACAGATACTACAAGTCTTTCAAAGGGGCCAATTTTGCCTGTTTCGTCTCTCTTTTTTCTTGTGTGTGTGGCAGCTGCTGTTTGATCTGCTCATTGGCTCTGATTTGTTTCATGTTTCAGCCAAAGATTAAAACTGCTCTGTAATTCTAAGCAGATGGGCCTAGGAGCCCAACCCTGTAATTACACCTTCTCTCTTCTGCTCTGAACTGCCAGCTTCCACCCTGACTCTGAGAGCGTGGGGATGGCTGGGGCTCAGAGCACACCTTGGCAATCAGCAGGTCTGGCCCAACCAGACATGTTCGCTGGGCCTGGGAGCTACAGGAGCCTCCCACTGGTGGCAAGACTACAAAGAAAGAAAGACACAGCAGCTTGTGGGTTAAACTCTCTTCCCTTTCCTTGATCCTCCGGGGTCGACAGCCCAGTTTTTCAGTGCTGACTCCAAGGCATTGTAAAGCCAGAGGCAGCTGCGAGTTCTGGGGTGACTGTGGTGGGTTCAGGGTAAGGACAGTCCTGAAGTCACTCTTGAGATGTCAGGTGTCTGGCTGTTAGGGACAGTTGCTTAGGACACTTTCTGGCACACTGTGTTCTGCAATGGCCACTACAAATATCAACAATGACCTGCACAAAACCTACCTTCTTCACACCAATGCATTTGTTATATTGCTCAGTGCGATTTCTGGAACTCTATTCAAAGGCTGACACTCCAGAGAAAATGTGGCACGGGAAGCACAAACAGAACACATCCAGTGAGAGAAGCAGGGCATCAGGTCCCRGGAACCTTAGTAAACTGTGTTTCAGGTTAAATCCTAGCTACCAGAAGCCCTTGAACTGCACCCAGAGGGCCAGCTGAGGCCACCGCACCCCACCTTCCCAGAGAGAGCCCAGAGTGCACGCAGACCACAAACACAGGTCCTGGACCGCACACGGACACCGCGAGGTGTACTGCCCTTAAGCGATCATGGTTTCTCTTTTCAGTAAGGGCTTGGACCGCACTAAGAGCCCCTACGCGCTGACACTTTGGAAACAGGATCGCGAAGCCTGCGATTTCGTGACAGTCTCCAGTCCGAAAAGCCAACAGAGTGGATAAAAGTATTCCTTCGGACGCGAAGCAATAGATTCTGGAGATAAAAGCGTCGGTGTGGGCGATGTTTGCGCCTTTCCAGAAAGAACACTTAGGCAGCAACACAGCTCTGGAGCCCCGGCACGGGGCAGGGACCCTGGGGCCGCAGCGGAGCAGAGCTGTCCCCGGCCCGCGAGGGGCAGTGCAGACCGCGCGGCGCAGCTGGCTCCCCGCGGTACTCACCGTGCAGCAGGAGGGCCGGGAACAGGTAGCTGAGCAGCAGGCGGCGCGGACAGGACATCTCCAGCGCTCCGTGGCCTCAGCCCGCGGCGCGTCCGCGCCCGGGCGCTCTGCGCTCCCCTCCGCGGGGCCGGCTGSCGCGGGGCGTGCAGGGCTAGCTCGGCGGCCAGGCCGGCCTCGGCCTCAGGCGAGGGCTCGGCGCCCCATGCCCCGCGAGCCCCGGTGGGCGCCCGGCCTGCGTCCGCGCCGCGGCCTCCCCGCGTCCCGCCCCGGCCTCCGCGCGCCCGGCCCCGCGTCCCGCCCCGGCCGCCGCGCGCGCCGCCCCGACCCGCAGTGGCCGCCGCCGCCGCCGCGCCTCTTCATATTTCCCGAGCGCCACCGGCAGGGCGGCTACGGCGGGGCGGGGCCGGGGCGGGGCCTYGGGGGCGGGGSCGGGGCGGGGCGAGGGCGGGCTCTGGCCACGCCTCCGCCGGGCCGGCTCCTCCCGCCGCCCTTCTTCTTTCCACTCTCTCCCCACTTCTTCCCCTCCTCCTCCCCTCCTCCTCCCCTCCTCCCAGGGCCCCTTGGGACTTTCTGGCTGAACGCGCCCCTAGCTTTCCTTCTCCTTTTCCTCCTCCTCCCTTTCTTCCTTCTGCCCCATCCTTTCCCTCCTGAGCCCCTTCCTCCCCCCCCCCGCCCCGTCTTTACCTGCCCCTCTCCCTCCACCTCCCCTCCTTCCCTCCTCCTTTCCCTCCTGCCCAGCTGTCCGCTCCATTTGCGCTTCCTCCCTACCACTCCCACGAGGGGCTTACAGCCTTGGGACTACATCCCTTCTGCGAGTGAGGAAGTAGGCCCTTTACCCTCGGGCCCAACGCATGGGTATGGATTCACACTTGGAAAGCATCTCCATACTTTTGTCCAGGACCCACCAGGCTGCAGGTTTGCAGTGGGAGCTGGGCAAAGTGGGCCTGCTAAGATTGGGCCTTGAGTGTGCCCTTGCACACACACGTGCCAGAGAGAGAGAGGAGAGATTAGAGAGGAGTTGGGATCTGCAGAACTGCTCTGCAGCCTGTGCAGCCTTCACTGCAAGCCCCCATCGCTAGTGAGCACTTGGGCTACTCTGGGGAGCACAGAAGCCCTGTAGCAGGCCCTGACCTGTGAGGAACAAGATGTCCGCAGCAGGAGCCCTTTATCTTTTCCACCCCCTCACAGGAGGCAGAAGACTTGTTGAAACACAGGAGAAATCTGAGAGAAACTCTCCCTTATTCTCCTTCCCGGATCCTCCCCCACCACAAATCTAATAACCACAAACAGGATGATCTTATTTGTGTCCTGTGGTCTGAGGAGGGGGTGTTTTTCCTTTAGGGTGATTTTCCTTTGGCCTTTGAGATTTCAAGGCAGAAACAGCTTCCTCCCTAGTCCTGAATTCCCTGGAGAGCTGGTACAAAGCCCCTACTTCACCTGGGAGATCCCTCTGCAGAGGAGACCTTCACTTCTCCCAGCTAGCTTAATGGGCTCCTAAGCTAATGTCAGTCCACCTCTTCTCCTGGGACAAAGAGCAGGCATGAGATGGGTGTAGAGAGCATTGTTTGACTCAGCCCTGCTAGGGTTTTCCCTAAAGTTACATGAATGCCTGACTTTCTAAGACAGTTTTCTGCCCCTTTGAACAAAGCAATAATTCAACTCCTTAGGCATTAGACTTTCAAAACTAGTTGGATCTTGACTTCATTATGATAGTAAAATACAAGAGGATGCACTTGACAGTTTCCACTTTCCCAGCGCCCCCACCCCACCTCGTCACGGGTGTTTTGGTGTGATGGTAAGTATTACCATCATTCCTCTTTCCATCATTAACATGGGGAATTATAACACATACCACACATACCGGCTGCTTGCTTACAGAGTGTCCTGAGAGTCAGTGTCACCACTGTTTGCTGACCGTGAACATCAGCATCCCTGTGTGGGCTCAAGAAGACCCTGGGAATGATGCCCTGGAGCCACGGGTGTGTTTCCAGTGAATCTTGCCTGGCTCCCTCTTTCTGAACCTGTTGTTCTTTCTGGTTAGGGTTAGGGTTAGGGTTAGGGTATGCTCATCCTGGTTGCCTGGCGTGGGCGGCCACAGTGATATGTAGGATTTGAATGTCTCTCAAGAGATGGTCAGATTTTCATTTTAACTGAAGAACTTGACTTCTTCACAGATGTTGGGCAGTTGGAAATGATATAGCACTCATTGCCTGCTTAGGCAAAACATGGGCCTTGGCACCAAGAACACACACCAGCCCGTACCAAAAAAGGAACACACACTAGGACCCTGGGTCACGTTGAGGTTTTGCAGTTTTCTCTCTCTCACTTAATGCCTTTCAGTCCCAGGGAATATTTGGATCGAGCAAACAACGGAAGAGGCTATGAGGAGCAGGTGTTTTCCTATAAGCAGCTTTGTTGATAGTGACTGAAAAATGTCAAGGTCATTCATTACACATTAGTAGAACAAGTAGTTAATACATTCACTTCAGTAGCTATTTGATTTTGTTATATAAATAAGAAAGGATAAAACCAAGGGCCAGCTGTAATTTGGCCCCTTCTTGACATTCAAGTTGTTTCAATGTTCTGTTTTCCCAACTGGTTCCACCAGTGTGGTGTAAACAGCCGGAATGAGACCAGCAGTTTGGAATCCATTTGCGGTGAACTCTCCCCTCCTGATGTCTTAGGTATAAATACTGGACTCTGCACATGGCCCATCCAGGGGTGTCCTGTGGACGACTGCTGCCTGCTGAGGAGGTCTTCCCCATAGGCTCACCTTCTGTGTGGCTTCTGTTTGTTTCCTTTTCAGATGGGACCTATGTTGCCCATGCTGACCTTGAACTCCTGGGCTCAAGTGACCCTCCTGCCTCAGCCTCCCAGGAGCTGAACTGCACCACTGGGCCAGGCTGCACCACTGGGCCAGGCTCCTGCATTACTTTTTGCTTTTGCTAGAATGTACCCACTTCTGAAGAAGAAGATTGAAAACATATATATATATA